AGATTGTACGGGAGAAGGCAATCCTGTAAGTAACGTGGACCCAAACCATGCAGGGCTTTAAATGTCAAAAACAACACTTTGTGCTTTGCTCAGAAACTAATTGGCAGCCAGTGGAATGACTTCCGCATAGGTGTAGTATGTTCACTCCTGGATGTTGTTGACGTTGCTGATGACGATGCTTTTGTTATTGCTAGATTGATTTTAGATTGTGTCTTGTAATTTGCACCCTGTCCTTTCTATGTTGTACACCGCTGTGAGTCGCCTCCGGGCTGAGAACAGCGGTATATAAGCACAGTAAATAAATAAATAAATAAATAATAAATGTTCCTGTAACCAATCTGGCTGCTGTATTTTAAATCAACTGGAGTTTCTGAACTTGGTACAAAGATAGCCCAATGTAAAGTGCATTGCAGAAGTTTTGAACTCAGCTGTAAAATGGATTCAAATGCTCAGATTCCTAGTCCAACACTCAAACCATTATGCCATGCTGATTCAAACACAGATACTCAAAATAAATTATTGCCTAAATCTGATGTTTTTCCCAGTGGGCTTAGCTCTTTGCCCCTCATTGATATATTTCAATTTAAATGAAAAATGTCTCTCTCTGCAAAGTTGCAGAAGCTGAGTTTCTCTTTCCAGGCTAATTTGACCATGAGACACATGAATACTATAAAAGCAGTTGCCTAGCTTATCAGTGATATTGAGCTGCAAAATCATTTCAGTGCAGTGACACTGCCTACCCATTACAAAAATTACAGGAAACCATTTAAAATTCTAAACTACATGTCAAATCTTACAATAATCAAAATCAGAAGAGCTTGCACGCTGCTTAGGCCCAATGTTTTATCTTCTACACTGCTGGAAGGAAATATATATATATATAAGGTACTCATCCAAGATATTTCCCTGCAAGGTGAGGGTTGAGGGAGCTCACTAAAATTTACAAATGAATAGTATTATTTATTATTTATTTCAAACATTTGTACCCCGTCCTTCTCAACCCCCAGAGTGAGGGGGATGGGGATTCAGGACAGCTTACTCCGGCAACAATTTGATGCCAACACATACAAAACACAGTATAACATGACATTACATATTAGGAAAAAAACATTAGGTTAAAAATCAATTTTATTATTACCCCAGTTCTCAGAAACATTGAAGGAGATCTGACACATTATGTGTAGATTATTTATTCTCAGACCTAACTTCTCAAGTTAAGTATGAACTCCATGGCCTTATTCCAACTCTATAATTCTATGATGCTATTTCTACAGTATGACAGATTATGCATCCCTTATCCAGAACTACAAAATCGAAAATAATCCAAAATTGTCCACATGGTGATATTGGGATTTTTCTCCAAAATATTTAGAAGTCATACTGGATATATATTGACATAACTGTACATATACATATGCAAACATTTCAATGCATTTTAGCCATATGCTTTTACCCAGAATTGTCTCTTATTGTTTACAGTGTGAAATATAGTTGATCTTTTACTGTAATAAATATCTTATGATCACATGAGAATAAGATAGTAGCTTTATTATAAATCTTCTGAAACAACTTCATGAATAGCTTTATTGCAGTTGAACCTAGAAGTTAACAGATCATGAATAATTGAGGTCAGGTTATCTATGCAGGTAGCATGACTGCTGTCACGCCACCCTAACTGGAATAACCACTAAGGGAAGTTAACTAGAAAGCCAAATCCATGAAGTGTTCATTCAGAGAAGTATTACTGGTGTATTCCACAACTGGAGGTATTCATCAAATGAAGGCTGGTCAACCATTTGCCCTAGCAGAGGAACCTATGTATCAGTGAGGAAGTTGGACTGGATGTCTTAGAAGGCTGCTTCCAACTCTATGGCTGGACTAGAAGTTACACTTTAGTAACAACAGGGCAGAAGCTATCTTCTTTACTATCTCCTCCCCAATGCAGTCTCATATTTCCTATCTCCCAAAATTGCTCCACTTGAGGATCAGGACTCCACTGAATAACTTGGAATTAGACAAAATAAAGCTCCTCACTTTGTAGGGGATCCAAGAGGTGCAGAAAGAGAGCGGGCAGATCTTGACAGGTGAAAACTATCATATTTTATTATGCCTGGCCAGGCAGGTGAATAGCCCCTGCTGTGCAGGTAAAAAGTAAAACTGCCTACCCCGAGCATACAATCCCCTACTGCTTTGTGGAGAATTTTGGGAAGTGGGAATGGGAAGAGCGGAGCTGAAGTCAGTTTCTACTAACCCTATATGACACACTGGATTCAGTCGTATGATTCTGTTGTTCTATTTCCGTGAAAATAGGGAACTTGGAAGCCTAAAGATGACCAAGCAAATTCAATCATTTTGCCACAAGTGAAATGATTCTGTATGGTGATTTTCTTTTTCTTGGAAACACACTGATTGTTGTAATTAGCTTACTCGACCAGTAGCTTTTTGTATTTGATTATACATCCCATTATTGATTAAACCTCAGTGAATATGAACTCATTTGCCCACTCAAGAAAAGATTATTAAGATTGCTTAAAATACAAAGTGCTTTTAGAGCCGTTTAGACCATTGTAAACAGAAGTAATTTGTGTGTATGTACTTGCGTGCAACTGAAGGAAAAGAATCAAACACGTATTCCAGTTGGCAGATGAAAGATGACATATTTCAGGTTGAACAACACAAGTGTCCTTGACAAAGGCTGGATTATTGAAAATCACAATGAACAAAAATAAGTTATTTTTTTCACCATCTGAATAATTTTCCAACCTGGATGAGACAGGTTACTCGTCTCAGCCCATACAGTTACCTCATGAAGCCTCTGTTCAAAGAAAGTATTAAGTATCCACTTTGCTATTGCCTGCATAACTGTGGCAATAACTGAAACTGTATTCTGTTTATGGAGTAGTGTTTTATTAATTAAAAATGAGTATATGCAAAATGAAGGGGAAAACAATCAAGTCAAACAGTAGAAGCACTATGACGTCATAACACTTCTGCTTTTAGAACTTTTTAAGAGGGCACATCCAAATGCAAAAGAAAATGAGAATTTCTCTTCTTCTACTTCAGATAAAAATGGTATTCACTTTCCACCAAGTTTGTCAAAAGCACAGGAGGTTCAAAGGGTGGCGAAAGAGCCAATGAAGCAAGGATTAGTCTTTCTCTTGCTCCATGCCGAAACCTCTGTTCCTTCCTTGTTTCAACAAATTCCCTTAAATATGTCTGGCTTTAAATTATGCAGAATAATTATATCTTAGAGAAACATCATTTCAATTTTATAGAAGAATATTTCCAAATTTACTAGAGCAATGGTTCTCTAACTGTGCTCCACGGAGCCCTTGGGGCTTGGTGGGTAATAGTGAGGGGCTCCATTGTGCCATGCTGTTTCCTGACTTCTCCTCTTTCCTCCTCCTGAGAAATGCAGGGACATTAAAGTTTTGAGCTGCCAGAAACAGCAGCAGCGTCCTCTCGGGGCACAGACCCTTTCTCCCCTGCCTTCCTCACCATCTAGACTCTTTTCCTTGCCACCCACAGCCTTCCCCTCACCCCACTTTCTTTGCTTCCAAAACCCTATTTTCTTCCCACCACTCAAGGGGTTCTTTGATTATCTTTTTCATGCATAGCAGAAGGGGGTTGGACTGAATGGCCTCTGGGATTTCTATTATTATTATTATTATTATTATTATTATTATTATTATTATTATTATTATTAGGCTGGGTGGCCATCTGTTCAGGGTGCTTTGATTGTGCTTTTCCTGCATGGCAGAAGGGGGTTGGACTGGATGACCTCTGGAGTCTTCCACTGAAATACTGTTAAGTTTATGTTGGTTAAAAGTGTTCTTCATTTTAAATATTGTACTGTTCTTTCTTTCTTTCCTTTTTTTGCACTGTATGAATTAGTTTACACAAACACTCTCCATCCATCTCGCCATTGGCCCGATCCATGCCTGATATATATACATATACATATATACACACACACATACATACATACATACATACACACACACACACACACACACACACATTATATTTATATAAATAAAAATGCAAGGTTCGTTTGTGGGATTAACATAACTCAAAAACCACTGGACAAATTGACACCAAATTTGGACACAATACAACTATCAGGCCAAAAAGGGACAATCACTCATAAAACACTGAAAAACACAGTAGTAGAGACTTTAAAAACCAAATAAAATACATTACAACGCATGCACAAAACCACATATATCCACATATAAACATATATACACGCACAAAACACATATACACAGACTGGGCCACAGCTATGTGTGGCAGGGAATGGTTAATATATAATATATAAACATTTATTGGGACTCTAATAAATCTTTGGTTCAAAAATGGCTGCACAGGTAAAAAAGTTTGAGAACCTCTGTACTAGAGACCTAAGACTATTGAAAGGATGAACTATGCTTATACCAAATGGCGTCAGCTAAAGCTGAGTTAAAGAATTCTACTTTCAGCAAATGCAGTTGCATATGTTTATCAACTACAACAGAAATTAGTATTAACAATATATATGGGAAAACTGAAGTGAAACTGTATCACAAATGTCATCATTTCTTTAAAAGTAGAATTACAATGTTATCTCCAGAAAGTTAATTTTTATTCAGACTGGAACTGGGAATTGTTCCACATATAGAGTGGATCATTCTTTGCAATGACGAATAAACTTTCCTAGGCTATTTCAGAACTCCATCTGGTTGGAAGGAGGATTTCAATAGTAACAAGAAAATTGGAGGATAGCCATCTGTAGCCAACTGACTACTTGAAGTACTGTGCTTAAGATCTGTGTTCTAAAAAACAATTACCCCATCCATTTTACTGTTATTTCTAACTACCATATCTATTATATTAATTCTATTGCTTTCATATTTCTTGCCACTAGGCCAATTACTTATCTGTCCACCAACCCACCCATCCATATTTTTCTTTTTAGAAAAATAGTAATAGAGTTAAATGTAAGAGGTTGGAAGTCTAACCTGTTGTGTAATAGTGTCCCAGGGACCCTGCCAAAGGCGCTCCTTATAATATTCATGCACACCTTTCCATATTTCATCCAGAGTTAAAGGTCTTCCATCTAAAACAAAACAAAAATCCAAAATGATAAAAATACAGAATATAAATAGTGCAAAGGAAAACATAGAACAATTTCTTCTTCTTCTTCTTCTTCTTCTTCTTCTTCTTCTTAATACCCTGCTTTATTTCCCCCAATGGGGACTCATTAACATATCTCAATCTAAAACAGGACAAAACTCTTCTCAACAGAGTTTTGTTTTGTAGCACTCACATGAAAGCAGTAGAATAACAGTTCTCTATAACAGTGTTCCTCAAATTGGCAGCCTTCAGATGTGTAGCACTACAGCTCCCGTATTATATATCTCAAATGCCATGTTGGAGTTGGAGTCCAATCTTTATAGTGTGCACCAATATAAGGAAAGCTGTTGTAGAGTTCTCACAATGCCGAATTGACTGGTGCTTACTTTTGAATCATGTATACTAACTAAGGTTTTACAAAAGAAAAGACTGGCTGTATTAAAAATAAGAATATGATATTTGCCAGAATATTTGTTTTTTGTCAAATGAAAGAGGTTTTTTTCAATAACTATCATTATCTTGGCATTTATCAGGTGTCAGGCGGCCATTATACTGTGATAAATAGTTTTATTCCACTGACATTTTCATGTCCATGAAATAAACAAGATTTATTCACCCAATTAACATTTGAATGTCATGTTCAGATTCCACTTGAAATCCTGTTGCCATCAGACACAGTTTTGTCTGGATTTTTGAACATGTTCAAAATGGAGGACCTAATTCTCTCGATTACCTAGCAGTACTAATGTGAAAATGTGGGAAATAACGAGAATTAAAAACAATGACTGAAGGACCCACTAATAGGTTGCACCAATGCCAATAATGGTATAAATATTTGAAATTTAGAAAGGAAAGTGAACTACTCTATTCTGCTTTGGTCACCTAAAATACTGTGTCCAGTTCTGGGCACTACAACTGACAAGCTCTGGAACGTATCCAGAGAAGGGCCACCAAAATAATCAAAGGTCTGGAAGCCAAGCCCTATTAGGAGTGACTGAGGAAGTAGGGTATGCTTAGCTTGGAGAAAAGAAAGTTAAGAGGAAACATGACCGTCATATTTAAATCTTTGAAAGGGTATCACATTGGGAAAGGGGCAAGTTTGCTATCTGCTGCTCTGGAGACTAGGACAAGAAGCAATCAATTCAAATTGCAAGAAAAGAAATTCCACCGAAACATGAGGTAAAACTTCTTGGCTGTGGAATATGCTGCCTCAGAGGGTGGTGCAGCCTCCTTCTCTGGAGTTTTTTAAGTAGAGGTTGGATGGCCACCTGTCAGGGGTGATTTGATTATGTGTTACTACAGGGCAGGAATTGGACTGGAAAGCCCTTGTTATCTCTTCCAACTCTATGATTCTATGTGAAATTCTGAAATTAGTAACAATTAACTGTACATGATTGTGATATTGTAATTCAATCATTTTAACTTATTTTAATCAGTTTTTTTAACTTCTTGGCTTTATTATAAATCATTGTAAGATCTTTAAGAAGAGGATGGCAAGTAATTGAATTAATAAACTATTAACGTTGCCATAAAATAATGCTACTAGTAACTGTAAAGTCTTTCCAAGCTGCCACAAAGAGGAAAATATTCTACAAAATCAGTAGTGTTCTCTATATTATGCACATTTGCATAATAATACTTTCTGCAGAGAAATCTGTCCCATACAGAAAATAATAACAAATGTTAAAATTAGTTAAGAATGCAAATATTTGTGTTTTCTTGCTGTACATGTGCTGGAGAATGCTACTGGTCATGACATTTGTGGCCTCCACATCACAAAAATAGACATTTTTACAGGGGAAGCCCATCCTTGGAGAAACAGGCTTACAATGATATCCTTTCTCTGTTGTTACTTAAGGTTATGATTGTTTGTCCATTGTCTTTTTTCATCAGCTGAACTGAAAAAGCTCAGCACAAACCGTACACATAATGCCCTCCTTGCAAAAATTCATAATAACATAGCTGAATTATGAAACCAAGTATACCACCTATATAACTCAGAAAAAGGCAGAGGAAGCACCACCAAGATACAGAATAATTATTTGCACAACAGATAGTGTGCCAAATAAGAAATACTGTCCTGAAATCATTTTTAAGCTGCATCAACATGGGTATTAAGGGCACTGAGTAAATAATACTGAGTAGAGGAGAATTCAAACATTAAAACTATTTAAACTGAAAACAAGGTGTAATTTAGATACCCTAGCAATAGCATAGAAGTCGCTTTCCCCATATGTTTACCCCATGGTAAACTGCAGAGGTTTTTTAATAAAACAATAATTGACTTTGATCCTAATGAGGAACTGATCACTTGATAAAAACCTGAATGATTCAACCTCCTTATATGTTTGCCAGCCTTTAAGCACTACTTGTTTCTCTATACAGTAATTGTTAAATTTGTATGCTGCCTTTCTGCCAAATGGCACTCAAGGTGACATTTGTAGCCCCATTATGAGACGAGCCTACGGAGAAGCTGCTTTGCCTCTGTTATAACACAGCCTCTGGTATGTGAAATCCTATTGGAAAGAATTTTTCAACAGTGATGTGTTTTCAGGCCAGAAGGAGAGAAATGCTAAAAAGATATAAAAATGCCTGAATTGGTTGTAGAAATCCTTTTAAAAAACTATTATTTTCTAGTGTGAAAATTCCCACGATGTGTGCTGAAACATATAATTATACTTGTAGGAACAATTAAAATTCTGTACTGCAAGGGGAGCTGTTGGAACACAATACAAAGATAGAGCATTAGATCATCCATCAGCTTCTGTAATATCCACTTCCAGCTATAAGGAGTCATGTTTCAACACCTCTGATTCCCTGATGCTGACAAGCTAAACAACTTGTTTTGTCTCTGGGAGCTCTTCTCTGGTGATTAACTGCTCATAGTGAATACTAATTATATGAAAATATCTTACTGTAAAAAAAAAAAAAGGGGGGGGGGGATGATGATGGTGAAATTAATGCCCTGTTCCCTTTACTTTCAGAATCACCATTCAACCCCCATTGCTTGTTTCCAAAATGTTCCACTGAAATCAAGAATGAATGGGATCTTTCACACTGCCATTAAATAAATGTGCCTTCTTACTATATATTTTGAAATCACTAAATGATTGGTTGCCAACATCTTCTCTCATCTGCAAACAAGTTAAACAAGAGTACATTGCAATTTCGTTAATGTTTACAGTAACCACTAGCATGTAATTGCAATGTGCTATGTGTAAATTAAGGAACTATTAGTAGCCATGGACTCTGAGATATGGCCACAATTCCCTACATCCTAGTTGGGAAATATGCCTTAAGCTATCATTTGTTTTAAAAAAACAAGTCAGATTAAATTCCCCTTTACCAGAGGAGTCTGAAAAATTGTTCTTCCATTTTACATAGAAATAGCTTGTTAAAATGCTAGCATGGCAAAATTAAAAACCATTAAAAATATAAGGCAGCAAGTGATTAAATCTACCAAACACATTCAAAGCAGCTTAAGCTACTTTTTAATTAAAAAGAAAAAGATATCACAAGCAGAATTCAGATGTGCTAATCGAGATAAATCTGATAGATCACTCCAAAAACAAAAGCTACTGCTGCTGTTGTATGGAAGACTAAGTTTAGAAATGACCTCAGGAATCCAGCTTCCTTGCCTTAGGTACAGACTCTATGGATAGAGAAATACAGAAAATGCTACAGCATGAAAACTCTCTGCTTGCTAATCGAGGAAGCATTGCGAATAATGGCCTTGGAGGAGAGACGGTGTTCTTCACCATCGAGTCAACATAAGTTAAGCAAGAGTGGGGCACAGCCTGCAATACCTATAATAAATAAAATGCATAAAAACAGATTGATTGTAATTTTAAAAATGACAATGGCAACACAATCCAGCAAGCTCTTGGGAAAAAGTATGCTTGGAATGGCTGAAAAAAGATAAAATAGGTTTCCTTATTTAATGATTCTCAATTAGAATGGATTACTAATTTAAATTGTAAATTTGGATAACTCCATATGATAGGCATTTGTGGGTTTTTTTTAAAAAAAAAAAAGTCAAGGGATTCTATTTCAGACTTTGTAGCTTTAAATTTGTCTTTCTTTTTGTCATTTAAAGAAAAAGAAAAATGGCCAGCAGGTTTAGTCAACCATAGGCGTGCTGCCAGAAGTCTAAAGATCAGACTTCTTCAGGCTGAAACGATATCATCTGCCTCAGGAAACTGATACAGAATCTGAAATGTATATGAGAAATGAATCATAAAGCCCCATTATGCCCAATAGTTTTTAATCTTTTTCTTTCTTTCTTTTTCACGAGTTCTGTACAAATGTCCTGTTGAAATATATACTTTTCTTTCAAAGAGTAAATTAATGTAAGAAGCATCTTACCTAAAAAACATGCCCGAAAATAAAGCACAGGAGCCTGGTAACTGCAGGAGTACAGAATGTGGTATTCATAGCGTATCACCTCTGATGTTGCAGAGATGCCAGCCGCTTGAAAGTCATCCAGACCTTCCTGAAAGAGAGATTAACAGCTATAAAGAGTGGGTGTAAACAAAGGGAATAAATTACTGCAGTTGTATTATTGTAGTAAACTAATAAATATCTTAAATAATTGCAAAGAGTATTCCCCTGCAGTTATTTGCCTGTTTAATCATAAGTGAACTGTCATCTTATTGGTCACTAAGAAACATATATTTTGGTTTCATTTTAAATGACTGTAAAGTAGAAAAACTACATCATCTGTTGCCTTATAAAAGTGGTTCTCAACCTGTGGGTCCCCAGATGTTTTGTCCTTCAACTCCCAGAAATCCTAACAGCTGGTAAACTGGCTGGGATTTCTGGGAGTTGTAGGCCAAAACACCTACAACTTCCAGAAATCCCACAGGTTGAGAACCATTGCCTTACAAAATAACACAGTATAATCACATGTTTAACCTATGGACATCATGAATGGCAAGTTTCTTCAGAAAAACTGTAAAACTTTTTATCTCTCAGATCTTTAATGTGGAAATTTAAGACACGGATGAACTGAACAATGCCAGGTTTGTTCCAACTGGGCCAAAAACAAGAATCAGCACAGTGTAGTGGTTTGAACACTCATCTAGGATATAGGGAGACTAGGGTTTGAACACACAGCTGGACTTGGAAATCAATTGCATGACCTTGGTTAGGCCACACTCTTTCAATCTCAAAGGAAGACAAAGGCTCCAAACAACTCTTGCCAAAAAACTCTCTTAGAGCAAAGCTTTCCACGCTATTGCAACATGTTAGTGTGTCAGCTGCAGTGCATAGGTGAGTCTCATGAAGATAAGGATAAACTTCTGAATCTATGTGAAGTAGGTAATACCAAGTTGCATGAATTTTTATGCACCATACTAATTGACATCAGACTCTAGAGAACCAGAAGAAATTAATGTGGGAAGCTAGGAGGAAGTCCTGTGCCTTCGCCCCACCTTTGCCTGCCTGCCAACCCTTCAACAAGTCCTTATGCCCCCCTACACCCCCATCTGCACCATGGTGTTTCATTGTTGTTGTTGTTGTTGTTGTTGTTAGGCAGATTTCACTTGATCCTTTCTTTCATGATTACTCTTTATGCATGTACCTATAACTCTTTTAAGGGATTGGTTTGACATCCAATTTTCTAGTAAAACTGAATTACTGTGTTGCGAAATGATGCATGTCTAAACCGTGTGTCACCAACATGAAATGTTTGGAAAGCTCTACCTTAGGGTCTCCGTTTAAGTCAGAAATAGCTTCAAGACAATTCAATAACAGCTTTAACAACAACAACAACAACAACAACAACAACAACAACAACAGCACTTCCAGACTTCAATATACTTCATTGTCTGGTCCTTACATCCTCCTTAATTGCTACCCCCTAAGTTTCCAGACTGGGCAGAAGAGTTTGAAAAAGAGAGATGTGTGTTTTCCTATAAAGTTCATAGTAGAGGCAACGTTTAAACTAGAGACTCCCCACTGTGTATCCCAGCTTTTTAACCATTATGAGACTTCAGCTCTTTTCATTCATCCATGAGGTTTTTGACTCACAGCCAATTCACACAATCAAATCTACACAGAATTCAACACAAGTAACATGTGTTTTGTTTTATGACAGTCTCAGTTTGCAACCTAACCTACATTTTATTAGACCACTACTAAAGCTATTTTTAGCAACTCTGCAGTTGCTGAACTGGTAAATTGCAGGAGAAGCCATTATTCAACAGCTTCTCCACTTTCCATATTCTATACAGATTCACTCTACTCATATGCTAGAGATACCAATTTAGTTCCGTGGAGTGTTACCTTTACCACTGACAATCTTCCAATCAAGTTGGAAGAATTAGTAAAATAGTCTCAGATAATAAATTCGCAATAATTCAAGTGGTGTGGAACAAATGCCAATTCAAAGCCCTTGCAATGGAAACTTTCAACTGACTCAAGGGAGAATACTACTGAAATAGAAGAATGATGTGTTAGGATCAAAAACAATAAACTACAACAGGCAAGTGGAGCTTAAGGCACAGGCACTAATCTTACCAGAAGATTATATTTACCACTGCTTTAAAAAAATACTTTTAACATTTATAAATGCAAATCATTTTCACAGAGACCTGAATAGGATTGACTTTATAAGGAAGGGGTGGTGGTCAGAGGTTTTGAAAATGAGATTATTAGTTTTTTAAAAAAACCCTCATAGAATATAGTAAAGGGAAATGCTAGAACATACTTGTCAAGATAACACAACTGATGTATTCACAGAATACAGAAGGGTAAGCCTGCCAGAAAAACATAAATGTGTGCACACATGCTGAGTGCTGGCATGCTTTCAAATTTGTGCCTTACACAGCCATAGAAACTGTAGGTGAACTGGGTGGCATCCAGCTGTGAGCACGGAGTTTACTATGCTGTATTTTGCTCGGGCGAAGAACTAAATGGTGGAAAGAAACAATGAAAAAAGTAGCTTTCCTAAGAAGCCAGTTCTTTTCAACAATAGCTTCTTGTGCTCGGCTTCTTAACAAACCTTAATTTTCCCTCCTACATTTGAGAAATATTACAATTGATCAGCTTAAACATAAAAGACATGTATGTTGCAATTAAAAACACATAACATTGTGGAACACTTAATACTACGTCCCAATTCAATATTATAAGTAATTTGATATTCCCAGGAAATGCACCTGTTCCAAAATAAGCTTTGTATATCAAAATATGGTTACAACTAGCCAAGGTAGAATCATAGAATCATAGAGTTGGAAGAGGCCTCATGGACCATCCAGTCCAACCCCCTGCTAAGAAGCAGGAATACTGCATTCAAATCACCCCTGACAGATGGCCATCCAGCCTCTGAGAAAGTAGAGGTAATGAGAAAGCAATAATTCCTGGCCAGTTGAGGGAAGCCATTTTTAAAATTACATTATTAAGTATAACTTCATCTCTTTCTTGGGTAGAGACAACTTGTGTGGTTTTTAGAAAATATTCAGAACTCTCACTTTCTCTTTTGCCTGCCTTTTTTCTGAAGACAAGTTAAGTGCTATATCTGTGATCTATAAACCTTACAAGGACTTCTGAATACTGCTTAAGGCCAACACTAATCCCTTTTTATTTGGTAAACAGAAGTAACAGGATGCATGACATAAAAGCTAGAGTTCTCATGTGTAATCCTTTGCTCTGTATTTCCAATAGTATGGTTGAAAAGGAATTTACCAGGAGGTAGTAAACTTTGGTATGTGTAAATGCTGACAGCATCACGGAAGCTGAGCCATACTGTAACTGAAGTTCATTTTAAGTCACCTTAATACAATGCTTAATACTCCCCTGTAAATAAGAAGAGAGAGAGAAATCTGAGAGAAAATTGTGTTGGATATTTATATGCAGAGGAAATAATTTGTTCTGCCTTAAAATAAATTACCTTTGCTTCAGTCATAATGACTGATAATGTCATTAAGAAGAGATGAAACAAGAAAAACTTAAATTAATAACAAATCATATGACATTGTTTGATATATTTCTTAGGACATGATCCAGAGCAAAGTATAGAAATTCTATACAGCCAGGTATCTCCAGGATTGAGTAGAGCAGTGGTTCTCAACCTATGGATCCCCAGGTTTTTTAGCCTTCAACTCCCAGAAATCTCAACCAGTTTACCAGCTGTTAGGATTTCTGGAGGTTGAAGGCCAAAAACATTTGGGGACCCACAGGTTGAGAACCACTGGTGTAGAGGATGCTTTTCTACTTCTTTGGGTTGCGAACCTACATGTATATTACAAAAATTACCAGACCTTTTCAATTTGCTAGCCATGATGGCTCCTAGTGGTTCCCAACCTTTGGTCCTCCAGGTGTTTTAGACTTCAGTTTCCACATTTCCTAACAGCTGATAAACTGGCTGGGATTTCTGGGAGCTGAAGTCCAAAACAACTGGAGGACCAAAAGTTGGGAACCTCCTGCAGACTAAGCCAGGCATATGGAAAGTGACTGGTTTCTAAAGGTAACCCAAGAGTCTACAGAATCATGTCTTCAGGCATCCATTTTGTGTTCCACCCAAGGTCCTGCTACACACTACAGGCTGCTTTGAAAAAGAGTTGAAATGATTCATCCCACTTTAAACAACCTCCCACATCCTATAACACACTATTCTTGAAAGTTTCCCAATGGTAGGACCATGGCATAGAAAAGATGGTAAAATGTGAACAAAAGACAGAGGGAAGGCTGGCTTGTTTAATACTTTCGCTGCCTCAGTCTTCTCCTCAGAAGGAAATAGTACACTGAATGGTAAAAATATAATAACTGCCTCAGAATAGATAAAGATGTAGTAAAGAAACATCTAGCTACTCTAAATAATATGTCTCCACAGCCAGATGAACTTGCAAATATAATTTCAGAGCCAATGTCAATGTTCCTTTAGATTTCTTGGAGGAAAGGCAAGGTTCCAGCTAATTGGAAGAGAGCAAATGTTTTCAAAAAGGGCTGAAACAAGGGCCCCAAGCAACTAGTTCGATGACCACTTAGCTTGATATCAATACCAGGAAAGTTCGAGAATAGAGCATTCAATAATACACACTTAGAAAAGAATGAGATTACTAGAAGGCAACATGTTTTTTAAAAAAATATCAAAAAACAAGTTATATCAAAAGAGATTCTTTTTTAAAACAAGAGTAAAAATCCTAGTAGTCCAGAGTAGTATTTTGGATATAGGTTAAATGACTTCACAGTAAAGCTTTTGACAAGGTACCCGAAGATATTCCTGCAGGTAAACTTGTGAATTGTGGGAAACTGTTACAATTAGGTCTGTAATTGGTTGACAGAATGAATCTAATAAAAATGGTTGCTCTTCATCATGAAGAGAAATAAGGTGCTTCAGGACCCGTTGTTGATCAACATCTTTATACATGATTTAGATAACACTAGCTGTGCCCTGCCACGCGTTGCTGTGGCCTATAGTAAGAATTTTCGAAGTAGAGGTAGATATCTGGACTATTATGAAAGAGCGGTACCTACCTATTCCTTCCCCCT